AAAAAAAAAAAAAAAAAAAAAAGCCAGGCAGGCCAAGAAGGAATAATGGCTGCTCAGGGACAAAGCGAAGATCTCAGTAGGTTCAGCCCAAGACTTCTGAGTCCCTAGAAGTGGCCCAGGCCCATCCTCCATCCTTCAGAGCCTGGCAGCCTGGTCAGGACCCTCAAAGGCCACAACCGTACCTGTAGGGCACCCCGGTGTCCTTCTGACAGGTGGGATCTTTGTTTATTTCAGGCAAGGGCACTAGCTGGTGAAAGCCACCCGTGCCACACTGATGTTGGAGAAGCAAGAACTCAGGAGAAGCAGCCTCCTGGGACCAGAGGAGGGCCAGCGGCAGCCAGCTTGGAGACAGGACTGTGAGCCCACCCCCCCTCCACCCCTCCAGTACCCACATCGGCTCCCCACCCCAGCCCACCTGCAGGTGGCTTCTGGAGTAACCTGGGTCCCTCAGGATAAACTCCCCACCCTAACCTTAGAAGGACCAAGAAACCAGGCCTCGGGACAATGAGAAGCAGCATGGGCCTTCTTAAAGACTGGTGGCAGTGCAGGCAACTCGGGGCTATTAGGGTCTGGGTTCTGGGTTGTAGGTAAAAAGAAATTGAACCAAAGCAGGAAAATCTAACCAGGAGCCAAGAATCCAGTCTACCCCATCCTCCTTACAAAATAGCAATGCAAAGCCCATGTCGTTTGGACATCAAACCTCTGTGATTCAACTTGATTTGGTGAATAACAGACTTGAGAGAAATGTGGAGAATAATAGTCATCTTCCCTAGAAAGGAGTAAACAGGGTTAAGCTTCAGAAGCAGGAAGACCTGGGGCTGTGTGATCTTGGAGGAGTCAATCAACCTCTCTGAGCCTAGCAATAAAGAACCAGCTCACAGAGCTTTGAGAGGGTTTGTGAGGTTGGGTTGGTGTCCCCAGTTGCAGCCCTTGGCACATGGTGAAACTCAAGAAAATAGAGCAGTTTTTACCATTCATCACATTATTCCCACACTTGTCAATGTTTAAAGATACTTTCATGCTCACAGTGGAACCGATAGGGTGAGGTGCCAGTTCCATAAGACAAGTGGAGAAACTGAGGCCTGGAGAGGCGAAAGCATTCACTCAGAATTGCACGCATAGTCAGTTGCAAAGGGGAATTCTGGCACCAGCTCTCATGTGGATGGAAAAAGTGCAGGAAGATTTGGAGGTGAGCAGCAGAGAAGGGAGGAGGAGGCGGGGTTCCAGGAAAGGAGCTGACACTGGGATGTGGGACAAGGCCCAGGCCTGTCTTACGTAACAAGGTCCACCTGTTCACCCCTGCATGCCCCACACATGTGTGCAAACGTGCGCCCCGGCATGGCGCACACCCGGTCCTCCCTCACTAGCAAATGAGCCACAGAGACTGGGTCTAAACAAATTGGATTAGGAGGGCTGCAGGCGCCTCCTCCCCCCGACTGTCCGGCTCCGACACTAACCAGGCCTGCGGAACTGCCAGCTGGGATCTCTCAAACACACTGACAGTTGGTCCTTGGCTCCCTCACCCTACCGTGGGCCTCAGGAAGGGGGTCTGGGTCCGAGAGGATGCCACAGTGATGGATGGGGTGAGGGAGGTTCCAGGGTTAGCTCAACAGTGCACAGGATGTTAGTGCTTTTGTGAGGCACATTTCCGAGTTGTTCCCAGGCCCCACTCCGCCCCCCCCCCCCTGACAGCCTCTCCCATGGCCATTGCTGCTGCCTGGGACTTGGGCCCAGCCTAAGGCTCCAACCAGAGCCCAGAGCCCTGTCCTTGAGCAGATCCACTTCATCTCTCAGTCCTGCAGCTGGGCTGAGTGGGGAGTGGTCAGCTAAGAAGACACTGACCTGGAGATGAGATACAGGGGATGCTTCTGTAGGAAGAAGGAGCTTGTGGACAGACAATGCTGTGTTAAAGGCGGCATCTCGGTGCGTTCTCATCCCTTGTTTCATTCCATCCTCAGAATGTGGCTGGGGGTGAGCGGATGGGTGTGACTGCCAAAACTTCTTTACTTGGTGATTCCACAATACCCTTTTCTGAGAGCCTGAGCCTGTGCCACGCCCTGTGTGATGTGCCAGGAACACCAGGGTGAATAGTTACAGGCCCTGTTCCCCTTCCTTCGTAGAACAGCCTCCTTCAGGCTGGGTCATTGGGCACTGGGGCCCCCTGGTCTTCCAGGGTTGCAGCTTCACAGAATCCCTTTTCCATAAGGCACATGGAAGTGACTGTCACCTGCAACGGGAGCCATGACAACCAGCCAATCCAGAACACAGGCCTTGATGTCAGACAGTCCCAAGTTCAAATCCTGCCTTGCTCCCTTTCAGCTGGAAAGCTGCTGTCAAATAACTTAGCCTCTCCAAGTCAGTTTTCCCTTCTGCGAAATGAGGATACATGAGCTGCCACCTCACAGAATGACTGTGAGAATTAATTCTTATTTTTCACATCCTCATTGGACAGAGGGAGACACAGAAGCCCAGAGAGGGAAAGGGCTTGGTTAGGATCACATCATGAGCTGGGGTTTAAGTCAGGATGGGGTAGGTCCCCTCTTCTCCGGGTGTCCCTCTCTGCCATGTCTTATCTCAACATAAATCCTCCCCAGTTGCCCAGGCTGTCCAGGCAATTCCTGGCACATATGCTAGGGCCTGCCCTCCACCTTCAGCCCTTCTCTGGCCTCTTCAGCAGCAGAGTCCTGGGTGACCAGCAGTGGCCCCCTGGTCCTCTGAGTGGCGGTGGAGGGTGGGGGAGCACTGCGGCCGGCTCCCAGCCCAGATCACCCTGGCCATATAAGGGAAGGAGCCCAGGGAGGCCTCCTGGCTCAGGCCCCGAGAGAAAACCCAGACAGCCGCTGTTTATTTTCTCCTGCCCAGCTCACCCACACCTCCCTAAGCCTCCTGACAGAAGACAGAGGTTCCCCCCAGACCAGCGACATTTCCTGAAGACATGGGGACCACAGAGGCAGAAACAGTCCATCCACCCACAAGCTGCCAGCAGCCGGTACCCAGAGCCACCCAGTAAAACTGAGGCCACCTGGTTCAACATCGCCTTTCACAGAAGGGGAAACAGAGCCACAGAGAGAAGGGCCTGGTGAGAAGTGGAGCCCAGGACTCCCAGGCGGTGCCTCTCAACCTTGGGATCCGGAGTAGGAGGGAGCCTTTGGTGGGGTAAGTGGAATGGATAGGGGCGGCCATAGACCCCTCTTCTCAGTGAGGCCCTCATGTGTTGGAGGCAGGGGTTGGGACAAGTGCTAAGTATGCAAGACTCAAGGGAAGAGCTCCTGGAGCCAGGAGAAGCACCTCCCTCCCAGCCCCTGTGCCCCTCCCCTCAGCCCAGTTGCACTGACTCCTCCTCCAGGAAGGCGTCTCAGCTTCCCTGGTGGAGGCGGAAATGTTTTGTCCTCTAAGTGTGCTTGGCTGTCCTTTCTTGAGTGCCACCCCGTCTCTCCCCCAACCCCTTGGCTTGGGTCTGCCCCTATTCACCTTGCCAGGAGCATTTTCCTTCTACTCCATCCGACTGAGGTCCTCCAGGTCAAGGATGGTGTGACTCTCAGACACACTTCCCCTCGGGACATAGAAGAGGCCCTGCGCTGAATAGACAGGTGAAATGATTAGACTCTGCTCCCAAACCAAAGGTCTAGCAAACTGCTCAGGGCATGAGCCATCCAGCGTAGAGGTTAACGTGAGGGTCCTGGGTTAGGAACCCCAGATCAGTTCCCAGCTCTGTACCCTTGGAAAATTCCTTTCCCATGGAGCCTTGGGGATGCACAGGGACTTACACAATGAAAATATTTAATATCCAGGACTAAGCAGTTCCACGAATGACCATGCTTATTACATTCATTATCATTATGATTATTCCAGACACAAAGGAACAGAATGAGGCCCTGACAGCCAGGGGTGAGCAGATTCAAGGGCCTCAGAGGAGAGGGAGGCAAACACCCTTTGCTGTTCAGAGGCTGCGCTTCAGCCCTCGTCCCTGCATTAGTTTCTCTCACAGAGGCGTGGGGCTGCCTCCCATCTAGTTCCTGTTTGTAAACCCAGGGGAGATGCTATCTTTGCTGCAGTAATCTTAGCCCACATCTTGGAATGGAAATGGCCTTGGTGGAAATGGCCTTCAATTCCCCTGGTCCAAGCTCAGGCCCTGTGACCTGGGAACAATCCCCTTCCCTTCCTGGTCCTCCATGTAGAAGCAATAACATTCCTTGCCAGGGGCACCAGCTGTTCTGATGATTAAATGGGATCAGACACTGTCCTAAAATCAGTTATTCAGATGCCCTTATTTTATTTTTTTCCTGTCTGCAAACAATTATAATATTTAAAAATGTAAGATGAGTCTTTTTTTTTTTTTTTTTTTTTTTTTTTGAGACAGAATCTCGCTCTGTCACAAGGCTGGGGTGCAATGGCGCAATCTCAGTTCACTGCAACCTCCACCTCCTGGGTTCAAACGATTCTCCTGCCTCAGCCTCCTGAGTAAAGGGATTACAGGCACCTGCCACCGCTCAGCTAATTTTTTGTATTTTAGTAGAGACGGGGTTTCACCATGTTGTCCAGGATGGTCTCGATCTCCCGACCTGGTGATCCGCCCACCACAGCTTCCCAGAGTCCTAGGATTACAGGCATGAGCCATCACCCCTGGTGGATGAGTCCTTTTTAATACAAATAGAAATAGCTACTATAAAAAGAAAATTGTAACATTGTACATAACTAGAAAATAAAGGTAACCACAAATACAATAAAAATGAAACAATGTTATTATGCTTTAACCTGATAGTGTGGCTTGCAAGGCCCTGGACCTGAAGCCTGGGTAATAAGTGAGAGAAAGGTGTCAAAGACATGATAGCACCAAGCTGAGGCTTTCTAACCCACAGTAAATAGGACTGAAAGCAAATTGACAGGGAGCAACAGAATGGATCAGTTGCTCCCTGTCAATTTGCTTTCCATTCTGTTGTGTCCTGTCTCCCAGCAGAGGTCACAAACTCCCCAAAATCACTCACCCACCTGCTGCACTTGGGAAGCCAAAGGTAGTTTATGTGAAAGGGCTTTGGAAACAATCAGGCACCAAGTGAAGACAGAGGACACGCTTTGTCAATTTAGTTCTTGGCAGCAAATCATCTCTTTTTTAAGATAACCCTGCCTGATTCCTACTGAAATCTCCTTGCTGATCATGCTAAGCTCTTCTCTCCCAGGGCCAGTGGGAGCCGTGGAGAGTGGAGTAGACCAGCTGTCTCTGACCCCCCAAGGGAGTCCAATGTTGGAACGCTCTCCAGCCAAATGCAGGGTTTTTAAAAAAATCTATTTATGTATTTGTTTAGAGACAAGCCTATGAGCCTGGCTAATTTTTTGATAGAGACAGGATTTCATTGCATTGCCCAGGCTGGTCTTGAATTCCTGGACTCAAGCGATCCACCCATCTTGGCCTCCCAAAGTGCTAGGATTACAGGCGTGAGCAGACTGTGCCCAGCCGCCAAATGCAGTTGAAAAGGGTTCCTGCAAGAGAATTCCTCAGAAAAGGAAAGCAGTTTTCTGGCTGGGAATAGCTTAGACAGAGGCTGTCCCCTCCGTAGGCTGTCAGAACTGACCTGCAACCATGGTAGACCAGAGGAAAACACTCTTTCCATTCTTCTCAGAGTGGGGCCTGACTTCAGATTTCTGATAGAGGCATAAGAGACAGTCTTTTTTTTTTCTTGAGAGACAAGGGCTCTCTGTGTTGCCCAAGTTGGTTTTGAACTCTAGGCTCAAGCAATCCTCCTGCCTGAGCCTCCCAAAGTGTTAGGATTACAGGCGTGATCCACTGCACCCAGCTCTGTTTTTGTTTTTTTCAGGAGGTATATTTTTTTTGTTCTTTCTCAGCCCTGAGGAAAGGCTACCCACCGCCTTCAGACATTCCTGAAAATATATGTCATCCAACATCAAGGCCACCACGGTGACCACTAAGCAACGCAAGAAGGTCCTCTGGGATGTCCTTAGATCTTGGCAAGGCAGGAGGAGTGAGAAAGAGCTTTGCCTGCCCACCTGAAAGTTCCCACCCAAGCCAGGCCCAGAAAATAAAATGAATTATCTACATGGTCATCCAGTCAGCTACCAAATGGCATTACCTGGGTCCATCATCATGTACAAAGCCATGGGCAAGGCCCAGGGCCCCCTAAAATAACAAGCCATGGGCACTGTCCTCAGGAAGTGGAGAACTAGCTGGGTCAGACCCACACCGATAACACTGATACTAGAGATAATGAAACTGGGAAATATGATTCAGTCCTTCAACCTGGGTTCATGTGGTATCCACACCACCTGGCCCCGATTTCGGTTCTGAGCGCAGTTGACAGAGTCCTTTCCCCTCATAGGTGAGCCATGCGGTCCACAAGTGGAGGTGGTTGTAAGTGAAATCCACATCGCCAGCATGGTAAAGGGTTAGAAAGAGGGCACAGCATGGGTGAGAACATGGAGCAGAGGGTGCAGATGGATAAAGAAGTCAAGGAGGAACTGGGCACGGTGGCTCATGCCTGTAATCCCAGCACTTTGGAAGACTGAGGCAGGCAGATTCCCTTGATGTCAGTAATTCTAGACCAGCCTGGCCAACATGGTAAAACCCCATCTCCATTAAAAATACAAAAATTAGCCAGGCATGGTGGTGTGTGCCTGTAGTCCCAGCTACTTGGAAGGCTGAGGCATGAGAATCACTTGGACCGGGGAGGCAGAGGTTGCAGTGAGCCAAGATCGCACCACTGCACTCCAGCCTGGGCAGCAGAGGGAGACTCTGTCACAAAGAAAAAAAAAAAAAGTCAAGGAGTGTTTCCCAGAGTGGCCACCTGATTAGAGAGCTATCGCAGGAGGAGGAGCTGTGCAGGGGGAGTGAGAGGGAGCAACACAGTCCCTGAGAAACCCAAGGTGGGTGGGCCAGGGCTCCCTGGGAGAATGGAAGGACACCTATAAGCTGTAGCCCAAGAGGAAAAGGCCACTGGAGCCAGAGGTGGCAGGCCCTTGCAGGCTTTGGTGAAGGCTTCAGAATTTAGCCTGAGGGCAGTGGGGAGCCCTTTGGGGATATTAAGCTTGAGAAAGATACGACCATATTTGCATTTTGAAAAATCATTATGGGAAGATGGTTGGGAAGAGAGGAGGAGTGGCAGAAGAAAGCTAGCTTGGAGACATTGCTCAATGATATAAAATGTGAAGCACCATGAATGATGCTGTTTGGCTGGGATGAAGCACACAGAATGAAGGTGGGACGTGGCATCGAAAGGTGGGCCAACATATTAAATAATTCCATTTGGCTGGTCCGAGCGCAGGGGTGTTTACAACTAATTGATCATGACCAGTTACAGATTTCTTTGTTCCTTCTCCACTCCCACTGCTTCACTTGCCTAGCCTTAAAAAAAGAAAAAAAGAAATAAATAATTCAATTTGTTGAAATATCCAGAATAGACAGATCTGTAGAGACAGAGGGAAAGTGGTCTGGTCTGCCCAGGACTAGGGGTTGTCCAAGGATAAGGGGCTTCTTTTTGGGGGGTGGTGAGGTAACCTGAAATCTATTGTGGCATTGTTTGAATGTATTAAAACCCACTTAATTGTACTCATTAAATGTTCTTCTAAATTAAGCTGTCTTTAAAAAGAAAAGAAAAGGATGGTCAAGGTTTGGTCCTAGGGGGCTCAAATGGCAGGCCACGGACAGGAAACACAGCTGTGGGGAGTTACAGCAGCCTCCTGAGCAGAGCTGGAGGGGTGGAGCCCGGGTCCCCTCTAATGCCCCTTCTCCTGGCCAGGTTGGAGTCCCCCCACAGGCCAGCAGAGCGGAGCAGCACAGCCCTGTCTCCCAGCCTGAGGTGCAGTGCTGCATCTCTGGTCAGTTGGGAGTCTGAGATGAAGCACTGTAGCTCAGGAAGAGAGAAGTTGTTCTGCAGCCACCAGCCTGGAGGTGGTAAGTGCTGGGGGGCTGGGGGTGGGGCTGTCCCAGGAAGGACAGAGTGTTTCCAGACTCTATACTGTCAGCCACTTGTGATACTGGGGAAGTTCCTTGACACAGGTTCCCTCAGTTCCACAATCCGCCTCACGAGTCTCAACGTGTCCTGACTCCTCTGTGTACCCCAGTGAGGTGTTAGCATTTCCCTAGCATCCTGCCTCCGCTTCCTCTGAGTCCATGGCAGACACAGCTAATCAGTAAAGGCATACATTCTTTTTTCTGAGACACAATCTTACTCCATCACTGAGGCTGGAGTGCAGTGGCACGATCTCAGCTCGCTGCAAACTCCTCCCCCCAGGGTCAAGTGATTCTCATGCCTCAGCCTCCCAAGTAGCTGGGATTACAGGTGCACAGCACCACACCCAGCTAATTTGTGTATTTTTAGTAAAGATGGGGTTTCACCATGTTGGCCAGGCTGGTCTTGAACTCCTGACCTCAGGTGATCTGCCCTCCTTGGCCTCCCAAAGTGCTGGCATTACAGGCATAAGTAACTACACCCGGGCTAGGCGTCCATTCTTGAAATGTTCTCAGATGCAGCTTCAGAATCCTCAACAATGAGCCCTGGAGAGCCACTATTAATGATTCACAGCTGAAACTCATTCATCATTTCTGCAAACAATTCCTAAAAACCTCTCAGCCCTGAGGACAATAGTTCTGGCCTTTGAGTCAGGGTCTTCACTCTGTGCTTCTATCCTTGGCTCTGGGGTATTGCGGAAACCAGTCCAGGTGCCTCACAAATGTCTGACTTCTCCCAGAGGCTTCAGACACGCACTGAGCAGAGGAGGAGAGCCATGGAGCCAAGCACAGTTTCATTTAACCTACCCAAAAGCTTGGGAAGTGGGTGGTATTATAGCCCCATTTTACAGATGCAAAAAGCTGAGGCTAATTTAAGCAGCTCACCTAAGGTCACATATTGGTTGTGCTGAACTGAGACTGTACCCTAATCTGCCTTCAAATCCATGTTTTTACCCATTGCATATGATATGGAACTTGGGACAGGGAAGCAGGCAGAGAACATTCTAACTCCTGCTCCCATCTTGTCTTTACATCTCAGGTCACTTTTAGCAAAGACAGACATGGACACTTGCCATTAATACTATGGGCTTCCTTCCTCCTGCCCCCTCCCCCTTAATTTTATTTATCTCACCTCTCCAGTGGGTCCTAAACTCTTGCATTGCAGCATTACAGAAGGCCAAGGCTCAGAGGTTACGCGACTTGCTGGAGATCATCAAAGCGGGAGGTGCCAAACCCAGGCTTGGACGTGAATGGTTGCTTTAAATTCACTCTGGCAGGAGACTGGGGAATACACATGAGCCAGGCAGACAGCAGTGGGCAGTCCTGGGGGCAGGGGCGCTGGAGGGTTTCTGGTACTT